CGCGAAGACATAGAGTAGGGCACAATTTTTGTTTGGGATGGCTTCTCTAGTACATATAACTCAATGCTTAATATGATGTAATTATCTTTCAGTTCACCTGTTAAAACATGTTGCACTGTCTAAAATGCGCTTCTGCAATATAGATAGTTTATTAAAGTAAAATTGTTTTGTTCTAGATGGATGAAAATGCACCAATATGTTCACAATGTTTTGCAAACGTATTACGAGAATTATCTGTCGGCACAAATCATGTAAATGAACTTCAGCGCCCTAATGCCAATATTATGAGTATATTGTATATTGGTGTCAACGAAGACGGGGTAGCAGATAAGTTGTAACCCGATTAATATCACCCCAACTATACTCTGTTTTAATAAGCGGCCGTATAAAATCTCACCATCACTCGGACAGAGCTTATTATACATATATACTGTTGGCGAGACAAGGGACAAGTTGGGATGAGATGATTGCAGGTTATTATTGCAGTTGCACTTCTGGATAACAGACAGTGGGTTGCTGTGCCCACATAATGACCGCTGCCTGGTATTTGTGTTGGGCTCGGTATCAAAATTCCATAACCGCACCGGCCTCAATTCTGGATGGCATTTTATTAAGAGAGAATTTCGAAGTAGGATAAATAAAAAAAAAATTATAAATTAAGCTGTTTTATTTATATTACCTTAAGTATCCAAAACATGATTGACCTAATGTTTCACTTTCTATAACTTATAGGACTGTTCACCTTTGTTATGACATTATCCAAACTTTAAATGTCTGTCAAGGCTCAAGGCATACTCCGACACGCTGAGGACCTGTTATATGAAAATATTTGTACGCCGGAAACGTATTTAGGATGCGAATTCTTTTGTAACAACTGTAATGTACCATATTATAACAAATATATTATCTATGATTGTACTCTAGCACTTCAGCAGCCCAGATAGACACATATACCTGAACAGAAATTAGTATTCAAGATTATTCTGTTTATCCACCTTAAAACAGCCACTCTAAAGTAAAATGAGTTAAATATATTCTTAATTATTAGTGCAATAAAGTAGTATCTCAGGGTGAATTTTTTAGGGTAGAGAAACGGAGTTACCCGCTATTCACATATAATCTCGGCTTTGAGCTATCTGGCACATAATTTTTGTAAAAGCTAACAAAACACTTAGGCTCCATTTCCCCATGTAAAACAAAAATGTCCTGGATGCCCCTGGCACTGAAGTGTGCATTAGTACACACTAATGAATGCAATGATATAATTTTGTGTGTAGACACCGTTGATTTATCTCAACAATCTTCTTGTCTGGAATTAGGTAGTACTTTTACATTTGCGCTCTGACCGCGAGATGTCTTATCATTAATCTATGGCTATAGGTGATATCAGAGATGACAGCTAACGTCAAATCAAAACGACTTCAATTCGCCATTAGTGTTGCAGTTTTTGGTGAGAATAAATATTAATTGCACTGAAATTAAGGCAAATTCGTGAATTTGAATGATCAAAAGTGGTTTAATATTTCATTTTAACTTATTTCCATACTAGTACATAAACTAGGCCTACGCTTCATACAATTTTGGACCGTCTCCTTTAAAAAATTAATAAATGATTGAATTTCAGAAATGATTGATTGAACTGTCGAAGCTGAAGACCGAATGTGGCAGCATCGTTTCCGGGACACCTGAGATTTTGAGTGAGATTAAGAGGTTCTATGGACATGTCATCATTGGAGCCACACGCAAGTGTGAGTAACAATCCAAGAGCAAGTCTCATCCGACACTATTCTGATGATATCCCGGACATCAGTCTGAGCGAGGTTAGAATGGCTCTACAGCGGCATTACAGCGGAGCTTCTGAAAGCGGGTGGAAAACCGGTACATAAAGTTCTTCAGAAGCTCTTTGATTCCGTCCTCCATGGTGTGCCACCACGCTTCTCTTCTGCTTCACTCCTCCGGTGTACTCCGGAGGCGTGAAGCAGAAGTGCGGCGGTCTTGTTCTACAAGAAAGGCGACAAAGCTCTCTTGAAGAACTACATACCGATTCCCCTTCTGAGCCGCGTCTACGTGGTGTTTTCGAGAGTCATTACGAATCATCTCGCACGCAGACTCGACGACTTCCAGCCTCCCGAACAAGTCGGTTTCCGAAAAGGTTTTAACACCATAGACCACATACATACCCTTCGGCAAATTGTACAGAAGACCGAAGAGTACTACAACCTGCCATTTTGTCTTGCGTATGTGGGCTATGAGAAAGCCTTTAATTCCTTCGAAATTTGGGCGGTGCTGCAGTCCCTTCAGCGGTGCCAAGTGGACTGTCGGTATATATAAGTGCTGAAGTGTTTGTACAGTAGGGCTACGATGGCTATCCGAGTACAGAACCAGAGTACAAAACCTATCCAACTGCAGAGAGCTGTACGACAGGGTGACGTAATATCCCCGAAACTCTTAACCGCTGCATTGGAAGACGTTTTCAATTTACACAATCAATGAAACCAAACGTCAAAACAAAACCAACCACGATTCCGACTAGTCACGCAATCGCAATACGATTATTGCATACACAAGTGTAATTTTTCTGTTTTTTTTTTATAGGAGAGGGGCAAACGAGCATGCGGCTCACCTGATGGTAAGTGACTACCGCCGCCCATGAACAACCGCAACACCAGGGGAATTGCAGATGCGTTGCCGGCCTTTTAAAAAGGAGTAGGCTCTTTCCTTGAAGGTCCCTAAGTCGTATCGGTCCGGAAAAATCGCTGGTGGTAAACTATTCCACAAGGAAGTTGTGCGAGGAAGAAAACATCTTCTAAATCGCACAGTGGTGGACCGCCAATCATCCAGATGGTGTGGATGGTATCGGGAGTTCTGCCGCGATGTGCGTTCGTGAAATTTGGCGGCTGGGATTAATCCGAACAATTCCTCAGAGCACTCCCCATGATAAATGCGAAAGAAAATGCTAAGAGATGCAACATCTCTTCGCAGTGCCAATGAGTCGAGCCGATCGGAAAGGACTCGGTAGTCGACGATTCGAGCCGCTCTGCGCTGGATGCGGTCAAGTGGAAGAAGCTGGCACTGGGGAGCCCCAGCCCAGAGATGGGAACAGTATTCCATGTGAGGCCGAACCTGCGCCTTGTAAAGTTGCAGGCGTTGAGCCGGCATGAAATACTGTCCCGCTCTGCTGAGCACGCCAAGCTTTTTAGAGGCCAATTTGGCCTTCTCTTCCAAGTGACCACGAAACTGCACGCTACTCGATATGTCGAGGCCGAGGATTCCGATACTGGCTGAGGCAACAAGGGGAGTACCTTGAAACTGAGGAGATACGACAAAGGGGTTCTTTTTAGCGGTTCTGTCAAATGAATAATGCTGTATAATGCATAATATTATGACCTCTATAAAGCAACCTTAGATACCATCATTTTAGCTTTATATGAGAATCTATCACCATATAAGTATACTCAGAAAATATTTTCCATCTAATAGTGCGTGTAGTTAGGGAATAACTACATTTATTCAGCTACATTCGCGTTTCGCTGAAAGATTTTGGTTACACTTATACAGTTCCAATTCTGTCAGCCGCGTACAGCATCGTAAGAGTATATAGTATAAGGCAGTCATAGCGTGCTATCTCCGCTGAAACGCTTCTATCTGCAGCACTGGATGACTGAGAAGCGATTAGGTACATACTCATAGTAAACTACTTTCATTTAGTATTTAGCACTCAACATGGGCAGATCTATGTGCGATATTTTCAAAAGAAATACAAAAACGCAAACGAAAACGACAGTGGGTCGAACCACTTTGGAGAAAAAGAAATTTGGTTAGAGAATACGAGACAGTGATACCCGAATTAAAAGAAAACAATATTAAACTTAAAGGACATTTACGGATGAATATTGAAAAATTTAACGAAATTGCAGAGCTATTGCGACCAGGGTTACAAAAGCAAAATACAAAATAATTTCTGTTTACACAATCTCTCGATGATTGCACGCGAAATAATTGCGAATTAAATGTATCCACCAATACAAGTCGCAACTTATCGTCGAGGACAGAACGTGGCAGAACAACGCTGAACGCGGCGGAACAGCGCTGAATGTGGTGCAACAGCCCTAAACTGTGGCGTTAGCGTGCGTATGATAGAAACACTTGTTCTCATTTTATGCCCGTTTGCCGTGGAACCTGAATAGACGCAGAAAGCTGAACGGATGCATAATACGCATCTCTATACAAAACTGGTGTTTTCTATAGACAAAAACTGAATTGAGCTGAATAAGTGTGGTTTGTCCCTTAGATTATCTTATTTATTTTAATGATATGCGGCAGTGCACCTACTGTTGGATTCCGTCAGGTGGTTTCTCATAAGAGGCAAGCAAATGAAACAGTAGGTGAGATATAGCAATTTCCTGATATCAACAGAAAATAATAAAAAATTACGATTGCCAACCCGTCCATCAAACGTGACTACTATGGCAAAAGTTAGGAGGTAATCTATGGAATGAAAACACCTTTACATGCGATCCCACACTGTTTATTTCCCCTGAGTGACAAAGCATCGTCTATCTGACTGTATGGGCTACCTACTTATCGTCAGACGAATTGCGTCCTTCTAACGTTACAAGTGGTAAAATTAAAAATATACATGTACAACTGACTTCTATATAAATTATTAAGGATAACTCAAAAACTACTGGTTAAACCATGATCAAATTTATATGGGACAGACAGTCAAATTTAATACCTCCTCCTTTTTTAAGTCGGTTAATAAAAAAGGAAGACCGAAACTCTTGAGGATTATAGAATAAAGGAACAGCTACCGTTATTTGACAATTCATTGTTATTCATTCTTAGGAACTTAGTGCCCATCTGCACCCCGAGTTTTATATTGAAGACTTAGACTACATAAATTTCATGTTTAAAAGAATTCTGAGAAATATAAATAAAAACACAAATATTTAACATAATTTATTATAAAAAACTTAAACACTATGAAGATTGGCGGGTCACCGCGTGTCGGGTAGCCGTTGATACAAGTGCGGGCGCGACGCGCAGCCGGGGCACACGTGCAACGTACACGAAATCACGCCCTCGCACTCCCAGCAGTAGTACTCTTGGCACCTCGTGCAACGATATATCTGAGAAACAATTGCACACTGAGAACATTTTACTGCTTCTATATCATTTAATCAAATTATTCCTGTTAGATCTACTTATCATTACAGATAGTGAAAAAAAAAAATCTAAACTTCCATACACAACACATTGATTAGGTCGACTCAAATAAGAAAAACAGATGAGATTAAAATTAAAATATTATGTTCTTCCCAATAGTAATGACAACAGCACTCGACAAATAAATAAACCTGTATGAAATATTTTTGAATTGCTGTCAACTACAAACAAAGGAGACAACAGGTACAGGTCCCGTCACGTAAAAAGAAGAAAGAACGCTGAGCGACAGTGGAGGGAGTGTGTCTGCGCATGGATACAGTCCCGTTCTAAAGTACTACAAGGTACTAGACTATTTTTTTATAATATTATAATAGTAATTAATGGTTTTATTGTAGAATCATAATAGGTAATTTGCTTACTACTTAGAACTTTGGAAGAGGTTGGAATTAAAAATGGATAATGTTTACTGCAACATTATTTTTTATTTCTGTCGTAAAATATAAAGTAGTTTGTAACAAGAAAACTTAAGCTAAGGATGACACGCCGTCCATTATATCGTCTTGGGTCACATGCTCACATGGAAGCCAGATGTCGATGGTGTGTTGGTGTTACTGGATGCTACTTCATCATCACTTTCATCTTTGCTTGAGCTTCCGTCATCAGAATCATCATCATCAATGCGAATGATGAATGTTTCCGTCATCAGGTCGACCACATGGTATGTTTTTCAGTATTCTTCCTCAATACGTTTAACTTTACTGCACAATTTTCCCCATTCACCTTCTCCCATCATATTTACCGTTTCGTTGACTTGTTCAGTCATAAAACAATAGATATAAATAATTTTTCTTTCCTTCCTTTTTAAAAACATCGTCGCGAGTCGTGCAAAGAAAGCTGTGTGCGCGACTGTATTTTGGGTGTGAACAAAGCACGGGAAGCATGAGGAACCAATAGCATGCGCGGACAGTAATACTGGCGAGCCGTCCGGACCCCGTCGCGCCCCCTTCGTACCACCAATTTGATCGATAAATCGCTCAGTGCGCAATTTCAAGGCCAGCGTTCTTTTTACGTGACGGGAGCTATACGTTATCACTTGTCGCCGCTGAGGACTACCATGGAAGACCTCAGCCTGTTATTTTACTGTCTCTCTATACACTTCAGATTGGAACGCTGCAGTGCAAACACTGCTATTTGGCGGCAGAAATAGGTAAGAGTACCTATTTAGTATATAATCATTATGATTTGAACAAATATAACATGGTTAAGTTGACATTAAAGTCAACTTAGCCCTGTGAGTATTTAGGGAATCTCAATTTCTTAGTTTTCAGAACATGTTTCGATAGTTACACGTATGTGAGGTGACAGATTAAAACTATATTTAAAAAAAGTACTAACCTGTTTGTCGAGATCTGTGAAACTTCTTATACAGGCAAAACAATATTGTGCTTGGCCTTCATTATTTAATTCTTCATACGGATCCACAGGAAACAAGTGATGATATGATCTGATGGCAACAAAAATATAAAGTATTAGAAAGAAAGTCTATTAAATTACTTTATCACAATCTATAGAAATAAATAAAATTGAAGTGTCTGTTTGTAATGTTAAAATAACAGCTTATTACTAAATGCATATGAATGTATATACGGTACTTATAACAAAAACATAATTTTTAAAATTTTTGTTTGTCGGTCTGTCTGTCTGTTTGTTCCGGCTAATCTCCGAAACGGCTGGACCGATTTTGACGGGACTTTCACTGGCAGATAGCTGATGTTCTAAGGAGTAACTTAGGCTACTTATATTTAATAAAAAGAATTAGGGTTCTGAGCAATACAATTAAAATCCTAAATTACACGCGAGCGAAGTCGCGGGGAGCAACTAGTTTAATATAAAAATATTGATTCTTAGACATTATTAAATTATTATACAGCTATCATAAAATATTGGTCCTTTGAGCCAGACATCTTTCAGCACTATTTTTAGTTTTTAGTCACTTTACAAATTCTCCTACACTGGACGAGAGATTAATTTGTCAATTTCATAAGTTTTCAAAATGAATTCTAATGAACTATATATAATTCTTCCAGTTCAAACGTTATTAAAAAAATAAAAATATTTGATTGTCTTGGCATGGGGTCCCTCGTCGGGAGGCTTTCGGCCGCAGCCTTGAGAGCCTCCACAGATTCTCCCTCCAGCTACCACCCGCATGAGGTCGCCAATACAACGGCAGATATAGCCAAAAGGCAGTTAATAAATACAGTGTAAAATATAAGATAATAGTAATAATGCGCCATCAGAAAGTGTTTGTGTCACTGATGTTGAGTACATGAAATTTTCGATCATGTTTGTCTCACCACTAGCTTGATACTCGATAAAACATGATAAAGAAGACACTTTATTTTAGAAAGTAAGCCAGAACTGTATGAAATAGTAAAGTAACAGATGTAAATGTGTGTCAACATAAATTGTTACCTCGCTAAATGAGGAGCAGAAGCTAAAGTGAGGCCGCAAGTCCGACACTGCGCTGGCAGCGAGCAGTACTTACTGCGGCACTGTGGACACAGGTGTCCTTCGCCGCCTACACCCTCACCCTCTTCTAAGTGGCTATAACAAACATTTTCGTGTTTATCTAGAATAACTAACAACAGCTAACCCCTTTCAATTTGATTATATAATGTGGAAAAGCTACGTTGCGGTTATATTACGGTTGCAGCAAGAGAGTAAGTCGGGTGGACTGGGGAGGGACTACGATCTCGGAGAGATACCAGCATAAAATAGCAACTAACTGATGTGTTTCGTATGGTGAGTGTAGAGAAAAGGGCACCCTTTTTACTGGTTATGAGGCATAAAACTGTATTTTGATTTGTAATTGAGGATAGATGTAGACGTGCATGTACATTACACTGGGCCACAGCATCCACTTACAATCAGGTGAACTGAGTGTTCGTCGTTCTAAAGCGTAGTTTCAATATGTTAAAAAGGTAAAGTTACTGCCTTTACATGTCTCACTCTTTGGGATGAGCCTTATCTCATTTTCTACCGACTTCAAAAAGGAGACGGTACTCAATTCGACTGTATCTGTATGTTCTTTTTTATGTGTGTTACCTCATAACTTTTTTCTGGGTGAACCGATTTTAATGATTCTTTTTTTATTTGAAAGCTGGTGCTTCTCATGTTAAATTTTATCAAGGTTTGACCAATGGTTTTTGAGTTATTCTTAATAATTTATATTGAAGTCGGTTGTACAAAATGTTTAATTATTGAGATGGTTATAGGGCACGGAAGTGCCTCAATGCGTGTGGACGGACTATGTCGGTTCCGTCTTCGAAATATTTTTTTTATTTTTCAAACATTCAGGTTTCCTCGCGAGATTTTCCTTCACCGCCGAGCTAGTGGTAAATCAGCAACCGACAAATTCATTGGTGCCAGCCGGAGAACAAGCCCGTGTTGCTTGCGTTCTGGTAAATTTACAACGAGCGCATAGCCCCTGAGCTATGGCTCTCAATATGTGTTTTGCATGCCTTAAGCGCAAAGCACGTAGGTATGTTCTACTAGCGCCTAAAAATCAAGATTCCAACGTTTTGTCGCATAAAATCCTAGATATCTAACAATCATATTGAACATAGAAATGATATAAAAAGCACATTGTCAGAAAGATGAATGATTGTTGAACTTATTAATATTTTTTTTTTATCGATTAATTGCTATTTTTACATAAAAAAGTGGTTTTAGTAGCTTATGGTGTATATTTATCAAGTCCGCATGGAGTGGTAAACACGATAACTTTTGAAAATATCAATTGTTTAACTCAATCTAGTTTCTAATCTCTTCACTATCATGTGGGAAGCCATCGAATGTAAATGGCAGTTTAATTTTGTTTTGTTTAGTTATAATTAGTTTTTTCGGCTGCAAAATGTCGAAATTTGCGGTGTTTTAGCATTTTGCATGTAATTTATTTTCTAAATAAACTGCTTCACTCAGTCCGACGTCAACCGCCGTCGTGAGTGGACACTTTATCGGTTGTTTGCAGCGGCTCACAAAGATCGCTGTACAAATACAAAATATTCGAAAAACCGAATTTCATACATAATTGATTAAGTATTATAATATTCAGAGATTTTTATTACAATATTTTAAAAGCACAGAATAAATAATAGTAGTACGTACTAAAAGTAAGTAGGATGTATTTATATATACCTAGTCAGGTCATAAGTATTGTCACACAGTAAAAACTTTTCTTTTAGAATGCTGGCCACAAAAAAGTTTATTGAATTCGAATTTCGAATTGTTCATGAAAATAAAACTGTATACTTTTTAGAATTTTACTCATTTTTAAATATGGAGTGGGCGCTTAAAGAAGACCGTGTTGCAGTTATTGCGTTGCATCGTTGCGGTTACGCGCCAATTCAAATTTAGGACATACTGAAAAATTTTAATATAACCAAAAGATTCGTTTATCGTACCATCAAACGATATAATGAAGACTCTAGTGTAGATGACAGGTCAAGAAGTGGTCGCCCTCGGTCTATTAGGACTCCATCAGTGATAAAAGCTGTGAAGGCGCGAATTCAAAGAAATCCCAAACGTAAGCAGAAACTGTTGGCCCTTCAGATGGGGTTAAGCAGAACCACGGTGAAAAGGGTGTTAAATGAAGACTTAGGGCTTCGGGCATATCGAAGAAAAACAGGACATCGTTTGAATGCTCGTCTAAAGGACCTGAGACTGAAGAGATGCCGCGCTTTGTTGAAGCGGTACGCGGGAAAAAAATATCGGGAAATTCTTTTTTCGGATGAAAAAATTTTTACCGTAGAAGAGAGCTACAACAAACAAAATGATAAGGTGTACGCACACAGTAGTGAAGAAGCGAGCAACCGTATTCCGCGTGTCCAACGAGGTTATTTTCCATCCTCGCTCATGGTATGGTTGGGAGTTTCTTATTGGGGCTTAACAGAGGTACATTTTTGTGAGAAAGGTGTAAAAACGAATGCAGTTGTGTATCAAAATACACTCCTGACGAACCTTGTGGAACCTGTTTCTCGTACCATGTTCAATAACAGGCACTGGGTATTCCAACAAGATTCGGCGCCAGATCATAGAGCGAAGAGCACACAAGACTGGCTAGCGGCGCATGAAATCGACTTCATCCGGCACGAAGACTGGCCCTCCTCCAGTCTAGATTTGAATCCGTTAGATTACAAGATATGGCAACACTTGGAGGAAAAGGCGTGCTCAAAGCCTCATCCCAATTTGGAGTCACTCAAGACATCCTTGATTAAGGCAGCCGCCGATATTGACATGGACCTCGTTCGTGCTGCGATAGACGACTGGCCGCGCAGATTGAAGGCCTGTATTCAAAATCACGGAGGTCATTTTGAATAAACTTTAGTGTCATAAGAATCTATGTTTTGTTAAGTTCATTTTGGTTTATAAATGGTTACATAATGAATAAACTTGTTTCAATTATTTTATATTAAACATGTGACAGAATTTATGACCGGACTAGGTATATATATATATACTTAAATACGTTTTGGACTTTATGGAGTGATCTGAACTTTTTCTTAAATTAAAGTTTGACATAAAATTATTGGAAAATTGGAAGTATAATAAGGTTATTAGTGAAAACTTGAGTGTATATAAATTACTTTAAAAAATTCCGTATAATCATGTTATACGTATTTTTATAATGCGCTTAGGGCATGCACAATTGGATTTACCAATACTTTTCTTTTATAGGATCGGGTGACAAACGAGCACACAGTCCACCTGATGGTAAGTGGTTGCTGTGGCCCATAGACATCTACATCTATCCTAGTTTGCAATGCAGTTTAAAATGCAGATGCGTTGTCACTCGTGAGGACTAAGATGGAATACCTCTTTTCCAGTAAAAAGGGTCTCCGGTTCTCTACACTCACCATACGAAACACAGCAGTATTAAGCTGCTATTTTACGCTGGTATTCTGTTATAGCGTGGTCCTTCCCCGCTCGAGCCGACCCATTCGTGCTACAACTATACTGCTATCATAGCTGCAGCATGGCTCTACCACGTATAGTCAATATAATTTCAGACTACTTTACTAATTAGTAGCTACTTGTCTAGTAGTATGTCTTCTACCACCTTTTTACGTATTTTTACTGCCAAGTAGCTGTAAAAATACGTAAAAAGTAGTGTATTATGACAACACATCTCTGTATGCCCTATTTGTTTAAATTTGATAGCAGCCAGGCTATTCGCAATGCCTTGGAAATATTTCTCTCAGAAGGAAAGTTTCGTTCGTCAAGTATTCGATCCGAATGTCACAGACTTTGGTATTCACATCTCCTCTCCTATAGGATTCGAAACAGAAAGTTTTTCGAATGTCAGTATCAGTCTTCCAAATATTCACAAAAAAATTGAACTTTACAGATTAAGTGCAAATTATTGAATTATTTATATGGAAATACGTCCTATAGATAATTGTAATTAATTTGTGTTACCTACCTTATACTTAAAAAAAAGTATTTATCTCTTTTGATTATCACTTTTCAAGTTTTCGCCAGCCTCAGAGCTCTCTTAAAGAGCAATGGCAGATTTTCATACATAAATTTAAAAATATGAGAATAAATGGTAGCGTCTATATACCAAAAACATCTTAAAATTTTAAGCGTCAGTCCCTTAATAACTCTGTCAAAGAATTTTGTACTGAGAAGGCGTCAAAAAAAAGATATTTGCATTTGAACCTTTTTAGGTTATGTCCTATGTCACTTCGAAATAGTCATGCTTCCTGTGGTTGTTTGATGTTAGCATAATACATAATACATAATTGAGAGTTTTTAGATTATTGTATCTCTATTATATATTTGCATACTATAAATGTATATTTCTGGCATGGCTCCAGGGCTTTTGTACCATAGTGACATTCTCAGAAGGGCGAGAACCCAGAGCCGTAAAGCCAGTAAAAAAAACATTGACATTTTATTTTAGCTAGTGTTGGCATAACATTAAATGGAATTGTTACATAGTACTATGATTGTGATGATGTATTATTGTAGGAAATTCTTTGTAAGAGACTTATTCTGAGCCATATTACTTTTATTTTTGTTATTACTGATAGTACAGTTATTACTAATAATAACTTAATATAAAAATATTTTGTGTGTTGTATTGGTAGTGTTACAAAGTATATACGAAAATAGTAGGAATATACTAAATGGCAATATTTGAATAGAGTAAAATGATTTCAGTCATTTGATATTTCCAAAAATGTTTTTTTTTTCTGTGGCTTTAATTAAAATACATTTTTATTTGAAAAATCATAGAAAAATAATAAAACTCATTTTATATATAACTTATTTCTAGACGCTATAATTTTTGTCAACTATTTTTCTGCCTATGCTCTTTGCGATGCGAACTGTCACAATTTCCGAAAACAAATGTCAAACTTATCCAAAAGGCAAATGTGAATAGCGTTTATTGGTTTCCGTGCAAGAAGTTATCGAATCAGAGTCGATTTCCCTTTTCGAGACGATTGTGAATGACTCGGTGGTGTCTATGGCCATTACCCATCAGTACCATTAGATCAACTGTTAGCTCGTTTGTCATTCCAACAGAAATATCTTGTTCATGAAGATGATTTTCAAACTGCAATATATCTTTTGAATCTATTAATTTTACAGTACTTAACATGGGAGATAATAAGTGATATTTTGCCTGTGAATCGGATAAGGAGAGATCTTCCATCGGGCAAATTGTTCAAATTGGAAACGGCAAACGCTCCTTCTGAATTAAAAACAAAAGTATATTAATTATAAATAAAAGATTTATTCTCAAACTTTACTGCGGGACTTAGGCGGCTTAGGCTTCAATTTTTGTAAACGTGTGTTGGTAGGTTAACGCTGTAACTATAAGTTCAAGTCCAAGTTATACTCATGAGCATATTAAAAGATATGGTTAGGGATAAGAAGAAGGTACTATTATATGGTCTGTGCAGTTGTTAACTTGTCATAATAACTGGAAGTTGTCATCATAATTGAAATCAGTCGAGAGGACCTTATCACATTAATATGAGGACAATTGTATATACATACCACATGCACACTGTTATTAGAGGATCAGCATTTCCACCAGGATCCGATTGTGTACTAGGCGGTGCTGTGTGTGGAAAGCCCATTTTGACGAGCCCAGCGTCCAAAGCGCGCGCTCTTGGTGGCGGTGATGTATGTTCGAGAAGCAGTGAACGGTAATGCACATCATCTAGTACTACTCCATATTCTCCACCAGTGTCCTGACATAACTTCTTGCAAATTCGCACTTCTGCCGCTAATCCTATTACTGAACACCTGATGCCATCAGTTTTGAGAGTCTGTATATCAAAATATTATATATTTAATTAAATGGATATTTATTATATAACTCTTACACCATAACGTTAAGAGCAGAGCAGAGTGACAACTAAAAAGAGTTGTGACTAATTCTCAAAATTCGGGGTTGACATCTGCCATTTCTCCCGCCATGGTTCAGCACTGATGATACTATAGGATATATAGCTATTTACTTAAAAAAGAATGCAAAGATTTAAACTGATGTGGAACAATCCATTATAAACGTAGCACCGGCAATTCTTTTAACCAAAACATGTAACTTTTCTATACAAGTTCTTTAAATCACATTTAGCATAAGTACTTGAGATTTCCAAGGGATAAAGAGGATAAATATTATTCTAAGCCTCCTTTCCTCGTCATCAAAATAATCATTCAGAGTAAAGTAGACCTTGGAATACAAACACTTTTTAATAATTATAAAATTTTGTTTTGGAGATCATTTAACCTAGTCAGTAATTTTGTTATGGATATAATGCATGTACATCAGCCCATAAAAATTTTTTGCTAATTAAAAATTTAATTAAATAAAAAAAAATAAACAGTATGCTCTTTTTGGTATTCATGTTACAATAAATACAAAAAAGAGCATACTGTTTATTTTTTCTTAAACTAGCTTAAAATGTAAAATTACAGCCCATATGCCTTCTACTCTACCAAGCTCTCCTCCAGTATGAAGGTAAATCAGCACTGAAAATTGCAATCAAATTCTTTTTGAAGCCAATGTTGATATTTTTTGGGGACCTGGTTTGCCTACAATAGAATACAGCCCACGTACAGGCACCATACCATACCAAGGCACATAAATAATATTAATCAGTAATATAAAGCAAAATATATTATAAATTTATTTGAAATATAATTAATCCACTTTTTAATAGAACAAGAGTGATGAACGAGCACACAGTCCACCTGATGATAAGTGGATGCCGTGGCCCAATAGACATTTATCCTCGATTAAGAATCAAAATGCAGATGCGCTACCACCCGTGAGGACTAAGAACGAATACCTCGTTTCCAGTAAAAAGGGTCTCCGGTTCTCTATACTCACCATATGAAACAGCAGCCTTAAGCTGCTATTTTACACTGGTATTCTGTGAGTGTGGGCCTACAACTGTCGAGCCGACTCATTCATGCTACAACAAATATAGCCACAGTGTAGCTCTACCTCATATAAATCCTTTCCTTTAGAATGGTTGAGGAGGGCAACGGCTGTCACACAAATCATACTTGCAAACAGGTACTGCTTGTGGGCACTGGTCAGTCAGACAGTAACACATTTATTAACTTTAATCTTTTTCGAGTTGTAATGTTATAACATCCTTTAAATACCTATGGGCTCATTTACAAATGAAATTCAAATTTCTTATGTTGAAAAATAAAGTTCTCAATTCAATTAATTTCTAGACATAGCATAAAAAGTACTATTGTGTATTTTTGCTGTACTATTGTGTAATTTGTATTTTTGTGTATTTTTGCCTTTTATATGATTATGTGCCTATATGAGCTAGTTTTTTCAATGTTATATTGACCTAAAGCCTCATAATACCTGAATAGTGGGAATGATATCTCCAGGATCACAAGTAGTGAGAGATGCAAACAGGACTAGAAGTTCACGAGATGCATGGCCAGGAAGAGGTCTGAGTATTCGACCAGCCAACTCAAGAGTGTTTTGTAAGGATGGCTCACCTGTTAGAGCCAAATTAGATAGACTGGAAAAAGATTAATATTGTATTGTAATACAATTTATTTCATACAATAGTTTTTATTTACTTACTTTTATTGCTCATAATTATCTTACCTCTGCACAGCCTTTATATGCTTCCTGACATTTCCAGACAACTCTGTAACCTTCTCAGCTCTTTTATTCTTCATAGCAATTAATCCAAGTTGGCTTAGTGGATTTTGATCAAAGAATTCTTCAACAAATTTTTCTAAAAGCTAAACAAATAATGTTTATTATATAATATGTTGTGTTACACTTGATTGTATTCAATTTATGTTAATTACAAATGGCACAATTCACATTATTTTAAATTTTATTATAATAATATTATTCTCTGTGTTACCGAATTATTTATATAACTACTAGCTATTCCGTGTGATTGCATTGAATTAATTACGATTGGATTTCATATGTTTAATGGGTTAGGCCAGGGGTCTGCAACCTTTTGAGGCGGAAGAGTCAAAAATTACAATTTACAAAATTTCAAAATTTTTAAAGAGCCACAAATTTTTTCCTTGCCATCCATAAATAGTACTTGCATAAATAAAGTTTTTGTGATAAAAAAGCTAATCTATTTAATCGTAAGAAAAATATATATTTATGCATATAATATATATACAGGATGTCCCAGTAATGGTGGATAATCTAGTACGTACGTGTTTGGGCAGGGGAGAGGTGGCCTCGGTTTTCTAAAAAAAAATTCTATCCCGAACGGTTCGCGGTCTACGCCATGTTTTATAAAATTCCGAAAATTCGTACTTCTGCTAACATTTGCGGTTATCACGTCCGAAGTTTAATGCCTAGATCGGATTTTTTTCTTTTGATGTGTGTGATGTCCCTAATAATGATGTTTCTAAATTACCCTTAAAAGTTTTCAACTATGGGTAGTATTTTACAAGACGGCACTAAACATAAGTTTAAATGTTTTACTTTATTTAACTGCTAAGTTTGAGCACCTGTGGTAAAAAAAAAACGTATAGGATCTGTGTGGCCAATCATTTAAAAAGTTTGCCTATATCATAAGGATTCTAAAACATTGTACACCATGTACTTAATGTCATTACTTATTGAGCTATAGCCGTTAATGTGTAAAAGTAGGCATTTCATGACAAAATTACAAAATTATTTCAGATAGTTTTTTTTAACATTGCATGTCTTTATTAGGTAAGTACATTTGTCGCCCTTGAAAATTTTACTTTACTACCTGCTCGCCTTGTTTGGAAAAATTCTAAGCTGTGTGAGCGAGACAACAAAAAATCTAATGGGTTAATATCAGGTGATCTTGGTGGCCACAATATCGGTCCAATTCGGCCCATCCACCGGTTACGGTTGGCTTCGTTTAAGTAACTCCTTACTTGGACGGCGTAATGTGCCGGACAACCATCATTTTGGAGCCACATTGTTCGCCGGATGGCTATTGGCTCATCTTCTAATAAATGGCGTAGCTTATTTTGCAGAAATTCTAAATAATTGGCACCATTCAGTTTACCCGGTAATTCTAGGGGCCTATGAGGGGCCATCCGCTATGTGTAAAAGTAATGTTCTTTTTTATGCTTTTTTTACTTGTTTAGACCTAATTAAGTTTATTTGACATCAAACATAAGTTACAAATGGAAGGATACTTGTTTTTAGTGGGTAACTACGTGTTTTTTACGCGTTTTCTTTGAAATTGAGATAAAGTGACTTTTTTTATGAAGAGATTACAAACCTTTTGTACTATTTTTCGTTGTTATAAAAAAATCATTTATATAAGTAGGTACATCTAAATCACCCTGGAAACCTTGGTTTTTATTAAATTAAATTTTCACCTAATATTTTTTTTTATATAGTATCGGGTGACAAACGAGCACACAGTCCACCCGATGGCAAGTGGCTACTGCGACCCATAGACATCTACATCTATCCTCAATAAAGACTCAAGATGCAGATGCGTTGTCACCCGTGAGGACCAAGATGGAATGCCCCCTTGCCAGTAAAAAGGGTCTCCGGTTCTCTACACTCACCATACGAAACACAGCAGCGTTAAGCTGCTATTTTACGCTGGTTTTCTGTGAGAGCGTGGTCCTTCCCCGTTCGAGCCGACCCATTCGTGCTACAAACATAATATAGCTGCAGCATGGCTCTACCACGTACAACGTAATAATAACTTTTGTAAATATCAAACAATGAAGAACCTTAATTTGAAAAAAAAAATAAAGTATATCATTCATTGATATTTACAAATGTTAAATATTATTTAATGTTATACAAATGTAAAAGTAAAGTCGATCTGATAACGTCTAATTAGTAAGAATAGCAAAACAAGTGTTTTCAAAAGGAAAAAAACGCCGGCGCTATACGGCGGCGGATTGACAAAAGACTATTTTTTAGAAGCGAACTTTTTTTATGCATGAACGGTTTCGAACTGTTTCAAGCAAAAATAAACCTTATACCATATCACAAGAGCACATGGTACTTCGTAGGTCTATTCGGCCATATTTTTTTTTATAGGATCGGGTGACAAACGAGCACACAGTCCACCTGATGGTAAGTGGTTACTGTGACCCATAGACATCTACATCTATCCTCAATAAAGACTCAAGATGCAGATGCGTTGTCACCCGTGAGGACTAAGATGGAATGCCTCTTTGCCAGTAAAAAGGGTCTCCGGTTCTCTACACTCACCATACGAAACACAGCAGCGTTAAGCTGCTATTTTATGCTGGTTTTCTGTGAGAGCGTGGTCCTTCCCCGGTCGAGCCGACCCATTCGTGCTACAACCATAATATAGCTGCAGCATGGCTCTACCACGTAAAAAGATATGATAGTAAGACGGCAGTTCAACCATTTTAAGCAAAATTAAACAATAAGACAAACGCATTGTTTTTTTTAACAGAAGACTTGTTTTCCAGAAATTTATTTACAACTTGAGTTTGTGAGCAATCGCAATGAGTGCTATTATTTGTTACTTATTAGACAATTTTTCCATAACATGATTTAAAACCCACAAAGTAAAAATAGTACCATGTACATGTTAAAAAAAGGTTGTCAACCCCTAAAAATTTCAAAATATCAGTAGACATACATTTCTGGACTTCCAACTCTTTCAACTTGCTTTTCAGCTCTGTAAATTTTCAACTCCACAAAGCTTTACTTTTTAAATTGATCAATTGCATTTCTAGAGATCCAGTATCAACTCCAAATGGCTGTGTGGATCGATTTTTAAATGTTTTTTTTTTTATAAAATAAATAAAATTTGCATATGAAACTAAGGAGCCACAGCTTCACATCCAAAGATCCGCATTTGACATTAGAAACAAACACTTCAATTTTATTTATTTGTATAGACTAAAACTGAATATTGATAATTTGTTTTTTATTTTTGCCTTTGTATAATTATGTTTAATGATCTACCTAGATGCAATATTTTAAGAGTCCTAATAGTAGCTTAGGTTTTTGATGAGTAAGGCAATGGCAATGAATTAGTGTGTAGTCACTGTCTAGTAGTATACAATTTCAGACCTTAATAACTCAAAAATTATAATAGGTTATATTGTGAAATTTAAGATTCTAGTAAACCAGTTTGTTTTAAGGTGTGCAAAATTACAAGAGCCTAATAGTAGTCTAATCGTTTTTGAGTCATGAAAAGTTTGAGAGTGGCTCAATAAGGTTTATGTAAATTTACACGCTACAGATGTGTCTCCATTTTGTTCCCTGAACTTAGTATTTTATACTAAACATATACAGAGTTAGCAAAAAAACTTTTTACCTTTAATGTACATAAGAAACGAATTGGTTTGAGATCTGGACTATTCATAGCCTCTGAGCAATCAATTGCAACAAGTAAATGTCTCATCATGCCCAACCGCACGGGGCCTTTTCGAGGGGCCACACTCTTTCGTGCAGCTTTCTGAGCGAACTCTGCCACTAGACCCTCCACTAATCCATCTTCATCTTCCTTAATGGCCTCCCTTCATATACAAATAATATGTAAGTCTGAGCTATATTTTAAGTCAGAATATCTAAAATTATTGTACAAGAAATATTTTTTATGTCAGTAAAAATTGGGTTGTTGTTCACCATAAATTATACATACCATGTCTTCTCATAACCTGTCTCCCATCTGTACTCTTTTGGATCCTGTTCATCATCTGCCATTCTAAAATATTTTAGTACAGCTTCAGCTGCAGACTAAACTGTACAAAATCTATAATTGATCAAGATGTAAGTTTCGTTTATTTTTAAATTTTATGGATGAGTTCTCATCAAAAGAACCAAAATAATATAAAAAATTTAATTATTAAATGCTAAAATCACTGATCAGTAAAATAATTTGTTTAGTAAATATAATAAACTGATTCTTCTTAATTTTATGATACGAGTTTAATTTTGTTTTATTTATGTATGTAGCATGTAGCAGAAAAAATAATATTTAGCAATATTTAGCAAGTTAATAATCACAGACTAATATTAATAAATCACAGCTGAACTGATCACAGATCACAACAGATCACAACCACAGTAGGCTTGGGCAAAAAATATTGATATATCGACATTTTATTATAAAATTACGTTTTTTTTTCGTCGTCCAACCGACAGTAATATTAATTTTGGGCCTTATCCTTACATCATGCAAATTATGCCGATATATCGATATTTATTACGCGATATATATCGATACTGTTTATAAATTTCGATTCGACATATATCGATATATGTTTTTCCCTTGCCCATCCCTAAGACACGGACCATTTTTTTATAACTGGCTATACGACTCCGGGTTCTATCCCTTCTGAGCCTGAAGTGACAATGTATAATTATCCTTCATAGTACATTGCTTCACAATATGTTGATGCGTCACATTGTGCAGCCCTTGGGAGATTTTGACTGCAACTTAACCCAACAGACAGCTGACAGTGGCGATGGTATCTCAAGGCGCCCAAGCAGGCAGACATCTTATCTTGAGAATTACATCATCATCAGAGCACTTATTTCACTATTTCCACTAATAATTCACGTGTGTAGACACTTAATACACAAAATCGCACCACTTTTACATATCAAAATCCACTTCAAATTATTATTTAAACAATAATACAAGAGCAGCAATCCTCCACCGTTCAAGTTTCCGCCAAAACTCCAGCCTTACTATTCCCTAGCATAGATTACTGTACAGTAATCTATGCTAGGGACTGCGCTAGTCATAGACAGAGAAAACTATAGACTGCTTAATAGTTTGCTTCCCTCAAAAAAGAGAAGTAAATAGACATAACGTATTAAAAGGGACAGAGCATGGCTATCTGCATCTCTCTTCAAGGACAGCGCAAAGATTTAGCTAAACAAGTTTGACGTTTATGGCATCTTGTTAATCTGTCAAGCCTTTGAAGTACACATGAGGCAATCCAAGGTCAACTTTGTAGAACGCTCCAAAGAGTATGGTAATATTTAGAAAGGACCCCTCAGAACCAAAGAGTATATGATCACTACACTACGTTTAGTCAGAACCATAGTTATTGTGCTCATAACAATTATTTTTTAAATGTTATTTAGATGAACTATAAAACTAAAATTTTATTAGAATTAGTTTCGTTATTAAATTACGCTTCTTTAAATTAACAGAATTTACTTCAAATGACGAGTTTCCGCCTCGCGTCGCGTTTACGTCACATACTTTAGTCTTATATCCTTCGCCGCGTGAGTGTAAGAGGCAACTAGAAATTTTACAAAAAATTAAGTGGGTACAATAGAAAGTTTTTTGTTAGTTTTTATACAAATGATAAGTAATTACACTGTTTTAAAATTTAATTCCTTATATTTTGCTTCGTAACAATTTCATATATTTTATAAAATTGCCATTTCAAATACTGTGTCGTTCACGTATCACTATATTTAATAGCTAGAATTAACTGAAAAGTAAATAAAAAGTGTGAGTTATCACAATAAATCATGTAATAAACACAAATTTTCATATCCCACAAAGTCCAATGCGCGAAAATTACGTTTTATGTTATAATTTCGATATATAGTGAACATTATGGTGAAGTTGTTTTCAACAATAACTAAAAATAAAAATGTGAATGTGAAGCACCAGCTTTCAAATAAAAAAAGAATCATCGAAATCAGTTCACCCAGAAGGTTATGAGGTAACACACATAAAAAAACACAGTCGACTTCCTTCTCCTGTTTGAAGTCGTTAGAAAAATGGCGTTGCTCAAAGATAGCGTAATAAAGTATATACATTATTACGCTATCTTACGGATGTACAAGTATATACCTGTGATTTAATTTTTTTTGAGGCTTCTACAGAGTTTATCGATATAATTATATTATATATTTCTTTTCTTTATGAAAATCAAGTGTTTCTATGTCCTTGTTTCTTTCTTCATAATATTTATTCGATTATATATATATATATATATATATATATATATATATATATATATATATATTGAATTTTATCATAATATAGCGATTCGTTAGATTTGCCTTAGTTGTAAAAGTGAAATAATATTTACTTTTTTTTCTTTTCAGTAGAATTGTTTGGTTTTGTTATTTAATATTGTTTTAACCATTGAACTTGTTTACGCAACTTTTGTTTAATAAATTGTTTGATGCTGTTTGATGACTTTTTTACACATAATTGTTTACCACCGGCGGATTTTCCGGACCGATACGACTTAGGGACCTTCAAGAAAAGAGCTTACACCTTTCTAAACGGCCGGCAACGCATCTGCAATTCCCCTGGTGTTGCGGTTGTTCATAGGCGGCGGTAGTCACTTACCATCAGGTGAGCCGCATGCTCGTTTGCCCCCTCTTCTATAAAAAAAAAACACAAAAATATTTTTTTAAATAATAAAATTAATCCCTCCCTCTCCTTACAGTTTCATTCCAATGCTGGTGATGGATCGTTACATCCTATAAAAACCCCCAATGAACATAGGCCTCCACTATATTCCTCATAGAGGGTATACTTGTCATAGTTGCCACGTTCTGTTCCACGGTACACGTACCTTGTTGTATTGAACAGTGGATCAGTCGCCTCTTACGAAACCCACGGAATAGTATGAATATTCATACACCGCCACTACACAGTAATTGATAATTTCTCGAAACATTTCATTTATCGACAAATCGTCTTGCAATCGTCGTCACTCTAGCGCTCACTTGACCTTCATGTAAATAATTCGATATTTTAATTGTCGATAATTTTTTATTTTTGGATATGAACATAGTAATGACTCTAAGTTATTTTTACCATTTTTTTAAAAAATCGTCTGGCCTGACCTACTATACTCTTTGGCTTGACCATAGTTCTAACTAAATATGTCCAATAAAATGTCAAGGTCTGAGAGGTTAAACAAATTACGATATTTTCGCGAATTCATAGTATTAACCGGCGTTAATTTATGTTAATAAAGGAATTATAGGCTCATTGTTCACAATGGTGCGGTGCAATGTTCTTGATTATAAAAAAAGACGGTGAACTAAAAGTTCCAGTATTGTCGTTTCATTCGTAAGTAGGTATGCCGTTTTTGTTATCTCAGTTAGTAAAATGTATCATTTTAGCCTGGTATGAATTAAAATGTATTATTTAAACTGATTTTTCATTAAACATTAGGATTTATATGGATTTATAGGAGTTAATGTTAAAAATTACATTGCATAACCTATTTTCTGTGTTGCTAGTTTCGTATAGCAAATTCCCCTGATTTTCCTGTCAGGGTTTGATAGAAGGAAATAATAAAATTGTTTCAATGAACTTTTTATTTTGATGCATTACAAATTAGGCAGGCAAAAGGCATATCAGGTAATTAATTATACTATTATACAATATAATTTTTTATAAAAAATATTGTACAATATATTTTTATGTCATTTGTTGACACAGTTGGCGCAGTGGTTGAGCAATCTACTGCTGCGCTGTGTGTCGCGGGTTTCATTCCCGCACGGAGCAAATATTTGTAAGGCCTACAGATAATTGTTCCGGGCCTGGTTGTTTGTGTTGTTTGTGTATGTACCTTTGTAAAAGCACCCACAATATAGGAGAAATTCCTAGTGAGGGGCAACGTTTTTTTTTTTAAATCGGTATACGACTAATCGCTGTAACAACTATCTGCGGCGTCTCTAATAAATAGTTTTGCTTATACTATCGCATTTTTTAGTGTCGTAAAACGACAAACTTAGCTGAAGGCGGCACTTGAGTGGTTAGTTTTACCTATAACTACAAATTTTGTCGTTATGGGTAAAAATAATCACTCAACTTTATTTATTTTCAAACATTTATAAACGGTTTTGTTAATAAAGAAGTCAACCAAAATTTATTAAGACTACGATGCTGTTCCAACCATGGTACTTTAATATTCTTTTAATAGGGTTTTATAAGTACCTAGCTATAATTTTATGAGCCCATCTGTTTTTATAATCTATACTTTTAAATGATTTTAATAAAAATATTAATTTCATTTCAGTTCATAAAGTTGGCTAATTCAACAAGTCATGACCATGATGATCCCTTACCCTCAACTTCTTCTAAACCTGCATCTTCTGCAAAACCGTTGACTACCATCACAGATAGTTCGAGTACTATCGTGATAAAATGCAGTACAAAATCTATGTCTGTAAGTTTATCCTTGAATTTCCTCCTTTTATTTATGTGTGGTCTAAGGACGATGTTATCTTGTTGAAACATGTTGTATTGATTTTTTTTTATAATAAAACAAACATTTTCAGCAAAAATTCACCAAAGTTTATGCCAAGAACGCTGAAGCGTAAATGGAAAAAATAAGAAAAAAATCTAAAGAAAGATTAAAAAATGAAGGCGTTTCGAGATAAATCGCGAAGGTTGAATAAGAAAGTGGCAAATTTAGAAAATATTATTACAGAATTGAAGTCAAGATCACTTGTTAATAATGAAGATTGTGATTTGCTTGCTTAATCATAGATTAATGCTATTGGAAGCAGTAGCCATGTATTACTTTAAAGTACGCATTTACTACAGCACCAAATAGTTTTTTGCACCCAGTAATAGAATTTTCAACATTAATAATAAAGTCGTGTTATTTAGAAGCCAATAAAATTATTGATTAATAAAATTTCAGTAAATAGTTCCTGGTTTTTTTTTTCTTCAGCCTTTTATCACCCCTCTGCTGGGATATAGG